TTCTCTAAATCAATCATTTTGTCTGTATGATGTTGTTTCAGAGCCTCTAACTCAGTCTTCTCTAACTGTAACATTTCTAAAACATGTTTCAATTCTGTTTTATACTTGTTAACATTAGACACCAACTGCTGCAGTGTTTCATCTTCCTGATCCACACAGTCTCTCAGCTTCACTAGTTGTGATCTCTTCTCACTCACTGTCACTTCCAAATCTTTATTTTGTACAGTTAATTCTTCCAGAATATCTTGTACTTTCTGTGAAATACAAATGAATACAAATACCTCATTAGCATAGAATAGTACCAACAAATAGTTAGCATAGGATAGTACCAACACCTAGTTAGCATGGAATAGTACCAACACCTAGTTAGCATCGAATGGTACCAACACCTAGTGAGCATGCAATGGTACAACACCTATTTAGCATAGAATAGTACCAACACCTAGTTAGCATGGAATAGTACCAACACGTAGTTAGTATCGAATGGTATCAACACCTAGTTAGCATGGAATGTTGCCAACACCTAGTTAGCATGGAATAGTATCAACACCTAGTTAGCATGGAATAGTATCAACACCTAGTTAGCATGGAATAGTATCAACACCTAGTTAGCATGGAATAGTATCAACACCTAGTTAGCATGGAATAGTATCAACACCTAGTTAGCATAGAATAGTACCAACACCCAGTTAGCATAGAATAGTACCAACACCTAGTTAGCATGAAATAGTATCAACATCTAGTTAGCATGGAATAGTATCAACACCTAGTTAGCATGGAATAGTACAACACCTAGTTAGCATGGAATAGTATCAACACCTAGTTAGCATGGAATGGTACCAACACCTAGTTAGCATGGAATGGTATCAACACCTAGTTAGCATGGAATAGTATCAACACCTAGTTAGCATAGAATAGTACCAACACCTAGTTAGCATAGAATAGTACCAACACCTAGTTAGCATAGAATAGTACCAACACCTAGTTAGCATAGAATAGTACCAACACCTAGTTAGCATGAAATGGTACCAACATCTACAAGTAGTTTGTAGGGAATAGTATCAACACCTAGTTAGCATGGAATAGTATCAACACCTAGTTAGCATGGAATAGTATCAACACCTAGTTAGCATGGAATAGTATCAACACCTAGTTAGCATGGAATGGTATCAACACCTAGTTAGCATGGAATGGTATCAACACCTAGTTAGCATGGAATAGTATCAACACCTAGTTAGCATAGAATAGTACCAACACCTAGTTAGCATAGAATAGTACCAACACCTAGTTAGCATGGAATAGTATCAACACCTAGTTAGCATGAAATGGTACCAACACCTAGTTAGCATAGAATAGTACCAACACCTAGTTAGCATGGAATAGTATCAACACCTAGTTAGCATAGAATAGTATCAACACCTAGTTAGCATAGAATAGTATCAACACCTAGTTAGCATAGAATAGTACCAACACCTAGTTTGCAGGGATTGGTATCAACACCTAGTTTGCAGGGATTGGTATCAACACCTAGTTGGCATAGAATAGTACCAAGACCTAGTTAGCATAGAATAGTACCAACACCTAGTTAGCATGGAATGGTACCAACACCTAGTTAGCATGGAATGGTATCAACACCTAGTTAGCATGGAATAGTATCAACACCTAGTTAGCATAGAATAGTATCAACACCTAGTTAGCATAGAATAGTACCAACACCTAGTTTGCAGGGATTGGTATCAACACCTAGTTTGCAGGGATTGGTATCAACACCTAGTTGGCATAGAATAGTAC